CCCGCCCGGGACACAAAGCGCCACGGCCCCGCCCGCCAGCACCGCCCCCCAGCCGGCCCCAAATACCTGCGTCGCGTTTGGGTATGGTTTTCTGCGTGCGTAAATTTCACAGGATGCATTTAACATGAATAGGCATAAATACACCTATATGTATATATATATATAGCTATAGGTGTATATAACACTATACATGTATACACACGCACCATAGATATACATACATGCATCCCTATATGGGTCTATACACACACTCTATTTATATATACACATATATATGTAAAGAGGTATACACACACACATACATATATATATATATGTGTATGTTCATTGTGGTTTAACCCCAGGCAGCAGACAAGAACCACACAGCCGCTCACACACTCCCCCATCAGTGGGATGGGGGAGAGAATCAGAAGGGTAAAAGCTAGAAAAGCTCATGGGTTGAGATAAAGACAGTTTAATAGAGAAAGCAAAAGCTGCACACACAGGCAAAACAAAACAAAGAATTAATTCACTGCTTCCCACAGACAGGAGGTGTTCAGCATCTCCAGGAGAGCAGGGCCCATCACACGTAACAGTCCTTGGGAAGACAAATGCCATCACTCCAGATGTCCCCCCTTCCTCCTTCTTTGTTGCTTTTTCATGCCTGGACAGCTCATCCAAATTACTGCTGTATTCTGATGCTTCAAAGAATACATGGAAAATAAACAGCAGAGTGAAGTCCACGATGATAGGTATTTAGCAAATTATGCTAACTGAGTAGTGCAAAAGAATATCCTGTGAAAGAAATCAAGCCTTCCTGGTCTGTTAACTCCTTCTTGTCATGCACAGGCTGGGTAGTTTTGATGCAACAAGACTCAGAAATTGTTCTTATCTCCCCACGACATTTTTGCTTTTAAAAAAATCCATTTGCTCAAGAAAAGAGAGTTATTCTTAGGCATTAAAACAGTGAAGCAAAGGGAAGATTTCACATGATGCATTCAAATGAAAACTGAAGGACCTAAGGGGACCAGCATAAAAATAACACAGGATGATGCATTCTCCTTCACCCCCGTCAGCATTTTCTCCACATGAGTTGGGTGTTAGTCCTTGGAAGCTGCATGGTGAATCCTACTCATGAGGGACTGAAAGAAGGGGCTTTTGTCTGTCCACATCCAGGATAAGTCCACTGTGTCTGTTACCATGTGAAAACTATCCAACATACTACACTGAGTTGCCCAACTGAAAGAAATGCATATGAACAGAAAGTTTTGGTTTATTGCTTAATTTTCCATCTTCAGGTATGAGAAAATGTTGGCTTTTTTTGAAGGGCACGTACCAAAATAGCTGAAATCATTGGAGCTACTCCAAGAGTGAATTTGGACTTTCAAAGAAAAACAGCAGAAATCACAAGACTGCTTGAGGCAGAGACCTCATGCAAGTTATATGAACTGTTATTATAAACACAGGGATGAGAAGGAGCAAAGGAGAAAAGGGAGGTTAATTTTCACTGAAAAGGGCTCTCTTACACCTCCTGCCGGCTACCTGCTTTGTGTTTGCTTTCTCACTCCCACTAGAAACTACACCGTTTTTGCCACTGTTGCATTGGGCAGTTGTGGACTGGAAGTGCCCTTTGCACCAGGATCCCTGCTTGCTGTTATCACAACCATGCCACTGCCTGACTGATACTTGGAGCATAACAGATCCCAGCCTGAAGAGAAATGCTTTCAATAAAATTGCTGTTTAATAATATCTGTTATTTCAGTCTGGTGAAAAATTCTTTCTATTGATCAACTTTGTAGAACACCAGGGGAAATGTCTACAGCTTTCTCAATTTCTTTGTGAAAGAAATGCTTTTGCTTAAGTGCTTGGTTTTGGCTGAATGTATTTACATGTCCCTACAGACCAAGTTCACAAACTGCCTGGCTGATTAAGACTATTTTCATCTGCTGTACAGTCCCAAGAAGATCATCATCTGGTTTCTTCCGTATACAGAAGTATGCAACCTTTGTGCCAGTCTGTTGTCTAGTATTAGTGAGAGCTATCAATGTAAGAGGTCACACATATTTTGTTTTTTACTTCTTACTGCAGTTCAAAACTAGGATTGATCTTGTCACCGTGGGGATGGAAAGTCAGGGACCAGATGTGCCAGCTTTCACAGAGCAGCCTTAGCACAGAAGGGCTCTCATACCAGTAAACTCAGAATAATGAGAGAGGTCACTGAATCCACTCCAGGTTTATAACAGTGTAATTAAGACAAGAAAGTTTACCAAGTCCTTAGTCCAGTTCTAGGTGAAAGCAGAGAGATACCTATATATGCCTATTTACAGAATGGCTTGAGTTGCAGTTTCCTATGCACTCATTTGCTGTGGTGCTTTTGTTCTGCGGTTACACTTGTAGCCCACCAGTAAAATAAGCCTTAAAAGCTTTATCTACATCGAACTAATGATGTGCTAAAGATCAGCACCCCTTTAACATGCTCTGCTGGACAGGCTGAGAGTCTTAACTTCATTCATTAAGGAAGAAAACAAGGGTGATCCTATGAAGGCTCTACTTTAAATAGGTCTTTTGTGTACTGCTGAGCTTTGCAGCATCTGACACCTCAAATTTACAACGTAAGTCAGCAGCAAAAACAAAGCACAAGATTTATTAACGCGGTGCATTCTCTGCTACCCTGGAGGAATGCGCTCCCCTGACAAAGAGACGCTTCACCCTGGGAAGCCCCGCAGAGACAAAATGCGTTTAAAGCTCAGCTCTGGCAGTAGCACCTGACACCCCAGCAGGGGGTTGTAGGAAGCAACCAAGTGAGGAGCAGTTCCCAGAGGCCTGATTCAGGCACGGGCACTGAATTCTGCGTATTACTGTGGAGCCTCTGTACTGCTCCTCTGGAGCAATAGCTCTGGGGTTTTGAGGTATCACAGAGCCAGGTTAGCAGCCCCTTCCAGTAGAAGATGAGCTCTAGCCAGAGCATCTTTACTGTGTTCACAAGTCATAGCTGCAGTGTGGAGCATGTTTAAGGTTCATACTGGAAACATACTGGTGGTAGCTAAATGGACTAGCATCAGTAGTGGAGGCAGTTCAGCTGCAGCAGCACCAACGTCTGTGCAAGAACTAGTTTACAATCTCTGCTGTTTCCAATCATTGTGCTGAATCAGGCATTCCTTACTGCTCAGTAGTCTCAGTACTGGCATATGCTTGGGCCACAGCAGTGTCATGCAGTGTATTTCTGGTGGAAGGGTTTTTAGAAACAGGTGAAATTGTTATGGTCACAAAAGGCAAAGCGCTAATCCAGTACAAATTTGCTTTGCCAGCATGAAAGTCTTCAAATATCTTTTGTAGATTGTTTGAAAAATGAAAACCAGCCTTTAATCATGACAAAAACTCTTTCTGCCTCCCACAGCTGGCCCAAGCTCTGTATTGTGTCCTTCAGCTAATTCAGCAGAAACAATGTTGTATGCTCATGCCTTATCTGAATGAAATTTGTAGGACTGCATGGTCTGACAGTAAACTAATGTAGTTTTAATCAGCAGCAAAAGGCAAAGCTGGAACAGCTCTGAGGCTATTCTGCTATGTCAGAAACTGAACTAAAATCTGGAGTCAGGGACACCTGTTTTTGTTGAGCTTTGAGGCAGTTTGAGCAGTTTGTGTTCACAGTCTGTGAACAGCTGGACCAGATTCTTCAGTAGTGGCAGGGATCTACAGGCAAAGCAATCCTAGCTCCACCTCTTTCCCACATCCCTCCTTCTGTACAGAGCTACTGCAACTATGTCTCGAACCTAAGGTAGGAAATTATGAATCTGTGCATGCTTTTACCCTACAGAGACTATCTTTGAGACTTTCTGCTGAGAAGATGCCTTCATGGGTGTGCTGGCTGGAGCTAGTAGAGTTAGAGCTAGAGTAGGCACTCTAGCATGACAAACCTAACACATGGCTGAAAGTGTCAGAAGGCTGTAGCTTTTGTCTTAGCATCACTTGGTTCTCTGTAGTCTGTATGGAGGCACATACCCTTCATGTGCTCTACCCTCCATCACCACACCCTGGATGTGCTGAGGCTTGGCAAAGGCATGTCAGGACCTAAGAACCAGGGCCACACACTTAAAATTATGCTTTTAGATGGTTAGGCTGAAAGAAAAAAATGTGCCAAAGTTGTATAAATATGCACAAGTTGCTGTTCAATCAGTAACTTCATCATCTCTGTTCTTAGAGTTTTAAACTGGAGACAGTCGCCAATATTCACAGAGTTAAATTCAGAATTCAGTTAATATCTACAATGATTTCTTTTGGCAGATTTTTACACCCTGTTACTGTGAAGCTGGAAACTGATAGAAACTCAGTTTTTCCTGAACATCTCTAAGGGCCTAAGAGCCCAGCCTGCCATGTCAAGAGGCAGATGGAAGAAGGATGAGAAGCTCAGTGACAGGCCAGAGGCTGCAACATTCTGGCTCTGGGAGCTTCCAGATCCAGCCTCTCGGCATTTACCTTGCAGAAATTACTTTTTCTCAGCCTATAAGCTGGCAGCTGTGAACTATGAACTGCTATTTCTGACGGAGGCAAGATCCCACCACTGAGAGAAAAGGACAGGTTCCTGCCAAGCCTGGAGCACTGATGCTTGCTTCTCTAAGGAGCTGTTCCATCCTCCTTCAGACCAAGTCTGGACTATTACTCCCCATTTTTTTATTTTCACTGCCTTGCTGTGTGCATTATCTCATTCCAAGTCCCACAGCAGTGGTTAAGTTGATCTTCTTTTTGTGTTTTCCCAGCTTCTCTTCTCAAGTGTTTGAAACATGCCAATATTGTACTGCTTTATGACATTATCCAGACCAAGGAGACACTAATATTTGTCTTTGAGTACATGGTGAGTTGATGTTTTTCTAGCTTCCTGTGGAGCTAGTACTGAGAAGTACTGGGAAGTGGCTGCATAATGAATTTACTACATTAATTTACTGCAGCATGAGACATCTACAAAGAAACTAGTTGCAATCCTTTAGTGCAATGATTGATTTTCCTTCTTGATCTCCTGCTTTCCAGCCGCACAGCCGTACTCTTTTCTTTCTGTATACACGACAGCTGTATGCAAAAATTATTCCATATCTTTTATCCGGTGGGGTGGCAGACACTATTTACCTCCATTTCTGCCTTGCCAACACAATAAAAGTACTGTTCTTGAGCCATAGCAAGGGTAGGAAATAATGATATGAACTCACATCCCAGCTGGGGTCAGATTTGGCACTGACCCCAGTGGCTTATGACCATGACCAAACTGTGGTTGATGTCACAGGGAGAGCAGGATGCCAATAAAAAAATTCTCCATATGAGTCTTGCTACTTCTATTGCTGATAGCTTTCAACCAAATTAGAAGGAAAATACAGTCTATGTCTTCTTACTGCAGCTTTATAATTAATTCTGGCACAAATGTGAATTCTGTTAACTATCAGCTTGAGGTCAAACTGCTGGGGTGAGGTAACAGGTCAGCCAGGTCCCTGATTTGACCCAGCACTTAAGCACATCCTTGTGTGCTGCATCAGATCAGATGTTCACCAAGGTGAAAGAGATACCTTTGTAGTGGTTGCATATTTTTTCCATTTACAGAAGAGGTATTGTTGGCAGAAGCATTTTACATCAGTAGCATTGCCTCAAGTTCTCTTCTTTGATTTACCACACAGATCTAGCATAATACATGTGCTGTCATCCTGGGGGACTTCATTCCTTCAACATTATGGTGAGTTCCTTAGAAGACAGTATCCCCCTTAAACCATGAGGAAGTGTTATCTTCCACTATGTATAGTCACTGTAAATTGCTTACTAATACTTATTTGTTACATACATTGCAAAAACTTGGGAGAAAAGCTGCCTTTGATAAAGATGTAAAAACTTCCCCCTCAGCCTCCAAACCTTTTTTCAGTTAGCCCCTCTTCCCATTTTCTGAGCCTGCAAGAGGACATTCAGCTTTTGTGAACAATGACATCTTGTGGCAAAGAAATCTGTCTCTACCACAAATTTGTATCCTCTTATTGTTAAAACACATTATTCATTAAAACCTCTCAAATCTCACTCCTCATCTAGAATTATCTTCATATTTGCAGTCATATAAATCCCTTTTGTTTCTACCATAGCTTTTGAGATTAGTTGACTGTACCTGAGCACAGCTGAAGATGTACCCTTACTTTATAGATGGATGTTATAATAGTCTCCTACTCTCCTTTGTGTGCATCTTCATATTTAATTAACTTTCCAGATTGTTGCTGCACACTGACTTAAGGTTTCAGTGCAGATGTCCTCAGTGAATGCCTACATCCTTTTCCTGAGCAGCTTCAGTTAATTTATCTTACAGCTGTCAACAATAACTTTGTATCTTATCAAACTGCCTATTCATCTGACTTTGTCAGATCTCTCTGAAGTTCCTCACTGTCACTTCTTATCACAACTAATCTAAATACTTCTGTCATCTTCAAATGTTGCCACCTTGTTCACATCTATTTCCAGACAGCTGTTAAGCAACACTGATTCTAATGAAGTTTCTTGGGGTCTCAGATTTTAAACATCCTTAAAGCTCAGATATGTCCAAGATACAGTGTTGTAGTTTTGGCACAGATCTTGAGGGTTCTGCTACCAGACAGGCTCGTAAGGCACATGGAGCACATGGCTGTAATATGTACTCTGGCATTTCTGTGAGTAAACACTAGCCAGCTGCTCTGC